CAAACATCAAGAATGGTCTACACATTATATCATTTTTGTGATATTAAGGCCTTGTCTGGGCCTGCTGTTTTTCGAATTTAAATCAAAAAATGGACCGTTGGCTTTGCAACGGTCCATTTATCACAGCCCAAGATTTCCGAATTTTTCCTTTTCTACCCCTCCTTGGCGTGTAGTAGCAAACACATCCACCTACCTCTCCTTCCCCCAACCACCACATCCGTTCTCTCCATTATTGTCCTTCACCGGAAACCGAATTCAAAGTTATTCGACCGCTTATTACAGCAATACAGCAACGGAACACGCCATTTTTCCGTATTCGCTAGTGGGTTGCTCAACATCTTCTCTGGGTTTCTTCTGCGATCTCCTCCTATAAAGGAGCAGACACAGTAAAATTACTGCAGATCGAACCAGAAAAATAATACATCTGCAGCTTCGGGGTAGTTTGAGTTGAATAGGCTGCGGGTTGTTGTGATCCGGATCCGGAAGATACTTTTAGCCTGACAGGCTTCAATCGTCGTCTTTTCTTCGCAGCCAGCAACTTCTCTGAAATGCCTGATATGGGTACAACCTATGGGAGTTGATAATTTCTGAAATTAGACCATTCCCAAGCAAATATCTGCTGCTAGCTTTCATTCCGACTCAGCTTTCGTAGATTCTCCTTCTGCAGCAAGTCCATCCCACGCTTATCCTTCAAACAACTTCGCCACCATCTTCTTCACCTTCACATTCTGTACGAAGCACTCAATTCGATGGATCCGTTTGAACCTTCTCCGGTAAGTGGCTGCCAGTTTACTTCCATTTCAGTCCAATTTTGCATTCGTTGGATCATTCAGTTCGATTGTTTGCTACCATTTCAAACACAATAAAGTGGGTGAATATTGTAATGTCTAATTATTTATTAAATTTGAATCTTCATACTGACTGAGCCATTATGCAGTCCAATTTCACAAAGCAGTACAACATTTTTACCATCCACACTAATCTCCTGCAGTTTTACCGACAAGCTAACTCCTCCGCCTCGACCGGCCCTGAAGTTCACAACCATAGGGTGCAACGAAAAAATGCACAGTGGAATGCACATGAGACCACCATCTTCGTGGTTGCCGCGAGTCCGTTATCATTGACGGACATCGGAATGGGAAGTGCTTCACCAAACACGGTTGGGATACATTAATCAACATGTTCAACACCAACTCCGACCGCAATTGGAACAAACAGCAGCTGAAAAATCGATGGGATGCCCTCCGCACAAAACACAAGTGATTTGAGGAATTGCTCAACTGCTCTGGCATCTCATACGACCCGTCAACTGGCAAGATAGGCACCTCGGACGAGTGGTGGAATCGAAAATTTAAGGTACCATCGTCTCATTAACCTCAACTCATTGTTGAATTGTGCACTGTGATGAAGGGAAACGGTTTGGCTTTTCGCGAAATGTTTTGTGATGCCAACATGATTTGATAGGCTCTGCATTATGTGAACGTGGCTGTGGATGGATGAATTGCATGAATAATACTTGTCTCGTTCTGGGTTTCGTGTACGTTTTTTGGTAATTAGCATTTTTGACATTCATCATTTGCATGTGAATCATTGTGTAGTCCTTCCACTGCTTGGGAAACTGAAGTATGCAATATGTTGTTTCTTCATATGTTGGTGTACCCTAGTTTTATTAAAAGGCAAAATGTTGCTGGTATGTTGTTTTGTTTCCTCCTAACTGGAGCGGCTTCGTGTTTGGTTGTGTACTGTGAAAGTATTACGACCCCGAGTCATTTGTGTGAATGTATATTGATCTGATATCATTTTCCTAAGTCGTTTCTGTTCAATTAATAATCAGGAGAACAAAGACTATAAAGAATACAAAGACAAAGACTGCCGGGAGGTGTATCGATACAAGACGTTATTCGGGGATGTCTTCAACAGTGATAAGTACGCAGTGACTCCGCGCAAGCTGTGTCGCACAGGCTTCACAATGTTCGAAGACAATGCTGCTGAAGATCACCGTGATGAGATCCCGGTGGATGTGGAGAGTAGCGGCTCCAGTGACGAGGGCGTCGAACCCGAACCGGCTCCAGCAACGTTGGATATGTCGGGCCCGCATAGTGGTGATATACGGAAAGCAGGTAGATCTCGAGAGAAGGGGAAGAAGAAGTTTTCGTCACGAGACGTGTCGTTTTCAGTGGATCGTGCGACCACTGCCAGTGTTCTGGCGGCCAAAATTGACCAGATAATTGGACCAGCTGTGTCAGACCCGAAAACATGCATGCAGGAGCTAATGTCCACGGGTCGACTGCAAAAGTATACCGATTTGTACTACTGGACGTGCTCATTCCTCCGGGAAAAAAAAAAGGGAGATCTTGGACATGCAAGCCACTGCGGACCTAAAGTTTGCATGGGTTGAGTGGGGCTGGAAAGAGTATAGAAACGAAGCGCCACCGTGATGTCTACTTTTTGCAGCTTGTGTGTAGAGTCGTGGCACGGTTTCTCCTTCCTTCTTGGTGTTCAAGTATAATGGAACTGTTTCGTAGTTTTTAGGTAAAAACATTTTCCGTGCATTCCTTTATTGTTTGTATTTTTTTATGTGTACCGTTTGTATTATCTGGATGCGTACTGTTCTTATATTCGATTTTAACATATTGTCAACCATTTGTAGTTTTCCTTATGCACTGTGACAACCACTTTCCATGCGCTGAGAAATAAATTGTTTTTCGTGCACTCCATTATTGTGATTCTTTTAGATTTGCAGCAGCTTACACTTTTGAAAAAGCCTGTGATTTTTCTTTATCATTGATGTGAAGATATGTACTTTAGTTGGTAAAAAAATTACCCCCTCACAAGTTAACTGTACATGTATGTGTCCTACGTGAATTATTGGTATAAATTGTACTTTCCTTTTCACTATAAAGGGCAAGGGAAAACAACATAATTGCATTGTCCTTAGAAAAGCATCGTGTTTCATATTTACCTTAGGAAAGCATCGTCTTCTATATTTGCCGTAGAAAGTAAGTGTTCAGCTTTATACTATAAATGAACTGCGATTTGCGTCAAACATCCGATGTCGATGACGACATGGACAACGAGGGATTTATGGAATGGCTATTGTTGGATATGATTGAGTGGTTTCAATATTGTCAAATAAGTGAGGTGCGTGTATGTAACTACTATCGTGAACAACGACTTCGTGTTGATCGTTATCCGTTCGCTCGCAATGGACACATGTTCATGCTAGATGCTATGAACTGTAGCCC